AGCCTGGTTCTGACGGAGGTTTCTTCCTGTTAAAAGGGAGTTTTTCCTTCCCACTGTCGCCAAAGTGCTTGCTCATAGGGGGTCATATGAATGTTGGGTTTTTCTCTGTATCTATGAAGCGCCTTGAGATGACTTTTGTTGTGATTTGGTGCTATATAAATAAAATTGAATTGAAAATTGAATTTAATTATTTCTCTATTTCCAATCTATATGTCAAGCTTAGCTAATTGGAGTTTGAGCTGTAGACTAAGGGCACCAGCTGTCTAACTCAATCATAAAAACACTCTAATGCCAGTGACTAGCAGCAGGTGTTGGCGGTGTTCTGCAGAAAAAACACTGGTTATATTAATTAAAACTTCAAAGCTACCGAGTTGTTTACAATTTGAAATTATTATTCAAAGACGTACATGTCTATTGCTATATATACATATATTTTCTGCAAACCCAATAATGCTGATTTCTGAGTCAAGAACCATTAAAGATTGACAGAAAATAACTTCATGCCCTGAATAGGTGAGACTTTTCATCTCCCAGTATATTTACAATGTAGATACTAAGCATAAGATTGAGAGAGGAGTCTCTGCTTGTGACTCCCCAAGCTGAAGCTATCATTCACTCCTTATCATCGCCTTACCCACTCAATCCTCTCCTGGATGAAGAATGTCAACCACTTTCTTACTTTAATACAACCACTTTATGCCTGCTAGCAGGAAAGTGCCCCATGTGACACGACAGCTTTTCATTTTAACTTAGTATAATACATACACCAGTCGGCCACAACATTAAAACCATCATGGCCTAATGTTTTTCAGCAGAAAACTGACTGCACTGAACTGCATTGCCTCTGCTAGCAGCCACTCGCCAACCCCTCCCTGCTTAAAAAACATGCCTGCTTCCATTGCTCTCCATTGTAGCTACTATCAGAAGTGCACAGGGACATGCATATGTGTCCGTGTTTTCTGACATGGCTCCATCATAGCCAGCTTTAAGGTTTGTGCTATAGTAGCTGCACAGCACAGCCTTTGCTCCCTACATGCATCAATAAACCCTCATGGGTTTGCTGGTTGTTCATTGCACCTCTTTTTGTACGCACTAACCAGAGAGCCAAGAAGCTGTTTTAGTGTTTTACAGATGATTCAACCACCTGTTTCTGCTTCTAACGCATAAACTTCAAGAACAAGCATACTCACTTGCTACCTAATGAAGCCCACCCTTTCACAGGTGCCACTGGAACAAAATAATGAGTGTCATTCATTTCACTTCTCAGTGGTTTTAATATCGTGTCTGATCAGTACCTAGTCTTTTTTTATTATAGGTATTACAGGTTCAAGCTTACACCTTTACCAAACTCACCTACACGGTAACTCTTACAGTGCTGTCAATGTGAACGTTTCTTTACGTGTCAAGTGAGGGTAACACACGCTCTAACACAAAGCCTGCTATGAAGTGGTTTCAGCAGAGTTATATGCTTCTCCACAAATAATTACACAGCATATATAAAACTCGAACTGTTAAAACTTCAGCTCATTCTTCCTTAACTTGTAAGTGCCAACTTCCTGCCAGCTGGGGTTGGCATGGCCCTTGTTACATTCATCACTCACCAACTCCTAATCTTCATGCACTCCCAGCGTTTCTGTTAAAGTAACCAGCTTAGAGCAAACGGCTGGAGAGCCTCAGTCAGCAAACTCCCCCCTATTAGCGCTTCTGCAAAATGTTCGGACTTTGTATTTGACAGCACATCCAGATAATAAGTGAAGACATCCGTTATTATCTTCATGATTAAAGCGCAGAGCAGGCAGAGGTGAAGAAAATGCAATAATATATATTGCTTGCTTTGCCGTGGCACCATGGAGACCTTATAAGTGAGTCTGAGCACATTTCATTTAGTTCATTTGGCATTTAGGGATATAGTGAATCTTCAGTTGTAGAATTTGTCAATGAATAAAACTGCAGAAAATCACGTTGCATATATTTCAAAGAAACTAGATAGAATTTAAAATGTAGACCTTTAATTCCTTCTAGTCTATGTGCCAGTGAGGATGTAGCTCTGCTGAGAGGGTGAATTATCATAATGTATGCCAAAGAAAAGGCCGGGAGAGGGAACACAGATCATGGGGGACTTTCTCAATGTCTAGCTCCCCAGGCATTTGCCATCGGACACTAGAGTCTTTGTGAATAGATAATCTTCTCCTATGAAATTATGTGGAATGCTGGACCATAAAATCAGTTTCATGCCTGTTATAAAATCTTAAAATGCTTGGTGAGGCATTCATATAATTGGTCATTAACCTCCACAAGCCCTCCAGAAGCACCATTGTCCTTGCTAACTCCCACTGGTTTTGTCTAATAACAATATTTCATGTTGACATTGGCCAAATATCCTACATCCCATGCACAAAACTGCTGCTGTCCTCTTACATATTATTGAGGAAAAGTAGTTGCATATTTCTCCCTGTTACAAAAAGAGCCCACACTGTTCTTTCTGCTGGTTTGTAAAATTAACAAGGGAGGAACGTTTCCCAGAAATAAAGTTGTAAAATTGCAAATGACTTTGCCTTGAGTTATTCCAAGAAAGTACGAACTTTGATGAAATGTCTGAAGATGTCGTTTGTTCTGCTCAGGTAACAGGCACACTGCTGCGCTCGAACCCCCAACAAAACAAGTGGGCGGATGCGACTGCGAGGGTATAAATCAAACACATTGCAGCTTTCTACAGCAGCAATATCTGCCTCTAACAAGGCTTACAAGATTCCTTGACAACCGGTCGAGGCCCTTGGAACTGTTATCTTCCCGCAGCATGTGAACTGCTGGTCAGTGCGGGTGATACGGCAGGCAATTATGTCCGCCCACGTACGCGAGCAAGGGACAATTGTTTTTTAAAAAGTTTTCTGAATGAAATACATTTACTAGGCTCGCATTCATATGAAAAGAATTCTGATATTGTTTCTTATAAATCTAAAGCTTTATTATTTTTACTTAAATTAGAAATGCTTCAAGAGAAGTGTGCACAATTTTCAAGAAAAATTCAGCTGCTAACTCTTGAAATGGATAAATTGTCTTGTGTGGTAAGTGCCAAAACAAAACAGATATATAAGATGAGCCAGATAGGGGTAGGAAACAGCATTTGCGTCCTCCTCGTCCCTTTCAAACAGGAAATGGTCAATATTTTGTTGTTCGTCTTCGACTTAGCATTTATGTGGGGGTTTTTTAATGTGTATGAGCACTTGTTACATAAATGTTTGAAATAAAGATTTGATTGATTGACTGAGTTGTTTCAATGAGAGAAGATCCTGTAACTTTACAGTTTAAGTCCTGTAACAGTTAAAGTTTAAGTTTCATAACTTTTTTTAATTTGAAAAGAATATTTAGCATTTAAGAAAAGTTGATTTTGCTTTGTTATAGTGGCAAATTCTTATTGGCATGACACACTTGGAAAATAATTGGAAATTGGAATTGGTCTCTATAGTGACATTACAGCTGGCCACACTTGTTGTTATCATAACTTGATAACAAGATTGAAGTGCTGACTTAAAATAAGAAGCAAAAGCAGGTGAAATCAGACGAGGTGTAATTGCTGAAAACATCCGATGTTAAGTTGAGTCCCTTTATGAGCACTTAAAGTGCTGAAAATGCTCATGAATGAACAACACCTAAAAAACCTAACAGCTTAAGGTGAAGCGGTGGACGTGTCTGTCAGTGAAGAAATGAAAACAGCAAAAATGTCAGCTGAACTGTAGTCAGTCATAGTAGTTCCCTTCTGTGCTTAAATCCGAGGGCAGCAGAGATATGAGAAAGAAAGTTTGGCGTATTGCTTGAAAAGTGAAAACGAATAACTTTTAATTGTGTGGTCATGTTTTCGTAAACTGTAATGACACTACTCTTTATGGGTAACAGTGGTCAGGTCGTTCGTCGGAGAACAGAAAGAAAATTTGCCCTTCAAATAAAGCGTTTAACATTTGTCACTCCCTATCCATTTCCACTGGGCCAAAGACTGGCTTTGTTAGAAGTAAAATCCAGCCAATGTGACATAACATGCACAGGAGATGGATCACCAAAAATTGAAGGTGACACTTTGAATTGGTCGGCATTAAGGTAAGATTGTTCTTGTTCTCTAAGGGGAGAGTTAAAGGGGCTTACTTCTATAGTAGACAATTTTCCTAGTAAATCCCTCCTATTACCTTTCCCTCCCATGAATAACTTAGTCGCCCTTGATAACACAACCCTGGGACCACATCCTCATTTTCTCTCCATTGCTGACCAATTTTAGCAGATATAGGTTGATTTGCAAAGCGGTGGTGGTGGTGGTGTTAGTGCACAGAAGTGTACCTTTTGTCTCTTCCGTAGAGTGAAGTTCTTCCACAGGAGCAGAGTGAACTGCGTCAGGAGACCCATTACGGCTTATCCTGGCAATATCCTGCCAAAGCGTCGCTATGGCAACTGGCCCACTTAATAAACCCTGGAGGGAATAAAAGGCAGAGTTTGGTTTTAATACAGAAGAGCAATGCATCTTGGGGGAGTGCCACTAATCATTCACTTCCCCAGGCCTTGGGGCTTATGGTGCAGCACCTGTTCTAAGAATTATTATCACCTACACTCAGCACATCTCAGGATGGGGGCTCAGCTCGTGGAGGTTACGCAGTTCGGGTCTAGCAGTCAAAGAGTCTTTATTAAGGACCGTGAGGGTGTTTTATATATACTGCTTATTAAACAAGTATATCAAAGCAAAATCTCTTTTTTTGCTGTTGTTTTGCCTTTAAAGGAGGAACGTAGACTCTAGTCTTTGCCTCATTGACTACACTTGTGCAAATTCCCTGTCTATTAATCAGTCTCTTTAGTGACCAGAGAACAATAAAAGTCAGGGGGGAAAACTACATGGGCAACTGCATCACTTTTCATGTGGACCAAAGACTGCCATAAAATATTTATTACATATTTTACTATCTACTCACCCCTGATTACACAGATAATAAACAAATAGGTCTGCTGTGTCATTTTTACACTGCTACATCAAGTATGACCTTTATTAAAAACTCCACAGCTGACAGTCCTCCCACTGACTACGGTTAATTTATCTGCTCGTCGTGGCATCCGAATCAGTCCGCTGAGCATGTCGGTCCGAGTTGCTATTAGTTTCATGCGTTCAAAGAAAAGGCACATGCTCAGGTGTAACATATGCCTACGGATTCCTACGTACGGGCATTAGCCTGCGTTTCTACATCAATTTACAGTTTTTATGCGAGCAATTAATGTAAGAATGGTCAATTTGACTGCACATATAATCGCAGCAGCTGGGCACGCACACATTTAACATAAACATTTATAATATATTAAAAGAAAACAGTGGAGGAGTCACACATACATGATTTTCTGTTAGAGAGCACACTGCAAAATGTGACAACTTTACTGATGAAGTCATACATCATCTGTAAACATTTTCAAACAATACATGAAATAAACATGTCACATTTTTCCATAATATATTAATAATTTATTTATTCTGCATTTTTCTTAAATGCAAACATATTTAATACTTATACACCTACAGTGTCATAGTTACAAAAGGTAAGGGCCCATATGCAAAACTTTCTGCAGGTGTTGATGACAAACTTGCATCCATCACGCTGGTGTGACTGTGTGCATGAGCGATGAACACAGGCGATAAGCAAACAGGTGGACTGACAGGCCACGAGTGGAAAGGTAGGATAGTAAAAAAACAGAACTTTACAGGTGAAACTGAATGAACTCTGGGCACACAGTTTAAGAAATGGGAAATCAAGATAAGACAAGCAGTGATGAAGATGACCAGATGTCGAAAACATGGGGAAAATATGTGGGTAAGATACTTAAAAACACAACAAAAGAACCAAGAAACCAGAATGGCAGCGATCCAACATCTTATCAGGACCGCAATATATCCAAGGTAACTGCCTATAAATCGCCTGTAAATCCACAAATGTGACCTTGACTTTGAGCACAGTTCGAGTACAAATCTGTTACGTGTGAGTAAAACCCGACCAACACTTGAGGACTGGGACGTCAAAGTCATTTTGCACTGTGGACCCTGTGACGTCCGCTTTGATGTTAAGAAGCCCGGACGACTGAACGTTAACTAAACGTTAACTAACACCTGAGATATTTTAATATAAGGACAGAAGAGCAATTTCAGCATCTCAGATCTTTTTGTTGTTGTTGTTTTTTACATGGCAATGAAATACTGCTTTAACTGCATAGGACTTGTGAAAATGCAGCTAAATGTCTAAAATTTATGTCATTCTTCACATTTTCCAAAGGTGTCCTTTGGGCTGATTGGCAGGGCGATTCTGGCCCGTGGACCTTATGTTTGACACCCCTGCTCTAGAATAAGTAGTGACGGGTGATCCAAAAAAAAAGAAGACAGCAGACAGACGTATCCTGATGCCCGAAAGCTATAGTTTTGGATTTTCAACGTAGTTTTCTTTTTTTATTATTTAATTTTGAATTTCTTTTGTTTTCAGTTTACTTTCAGTTTAGTTGCCAGAGTGGACTTTGTTATTTCGGTTTCGTTTTTACTGTTTGAAAATGTAACTTTTAAACGTTTCAGTGTCAGTTTTAATCTTAAGCAGTTGACTCCCGGCTGTCCTGCATTTTCTGACTCATTTTTCTGTTTAATGTTTCCCATTTGACCTTGTTGTAGTTTTCAGTGTAAATATTACCTTTGCTTTGTTTAGGTTTTAATCATTTTGTATTCATATTTTTCTTTGTTATTCTCAAATGTTTCTGGCTCTCTGTTCCCCCATGCCCAGTCTGTGTTTCTGTTATATAATATTTAAGTCAAGTTTTGCCTTTTCATGCTTACTTTGACCTTACTTTGTTAAATTCATGTGTGTTTTCTGTTTTATTTTGGTAGTCTCACGCTCTGAGTGTGTTTGTGTCCAGTTTTGCTTCCCTCTTGCTTGTTAGTTGATTCTGTTCAGCTGCGCCTCATCTTTCCCAGCTGTGTCTTGATGATCTTGTGAGTATTTAAGCCCCTTGTTTTCACTTCTTCCTTGTCGCGATATAGTTTCGAGTACCTCCTAGTTTAGTTTTGTATTCTTGCAGTCCAAACCACCAAATACAAAAACTAAGCAAATTTCCTATCCTTGTGCCCGAAATGACATTTTCCAAACACGTATTTGCCAGTTAAACGACAGGCACACACACAGATCTGTATGTGTTGAGTCAGAGAAATGTATTAATATTTAACACCCATGTTATGTTACCCATCTGTGCTCAAAACATGTTTCCGAGCACTTCATCTCATGTTCTGTGAAGACATTTAAGACCTAGGCACGTGCCCTAGGTGAGGAAGGCAGGGATTCGGATGAGCCTTTTAGCCCACGGGTAGTCCTGACAAATGTGCCACCTGTTAACGCTCCAGTTCCTCCTCCTGCACAGGTTCCATCTCCTCCACATGCGTCTACATTATTTAATGCTACTTCATGGATGTTTTATTTACCGTCATGAGAAAATGGATGCGGCCTTACTTCCAAACACCCAAATAAGTGCTCTAATGGGCAAAAGAATGGGAGCGCTCAAGGCCATTCGATAATCAGTTAGAGAATATTGGTGAGAGGAAGCACAGAATCTCCTCACTTAAATTCTGTTTTTCCACCAATGCCAAGTTATATTATTATAGAGGGCAATTTAAGTGAATCACGCCGTTACTGCTGCTGGCAAACTATCCATATTGTTCAGAGATAAATGGATTACGATCAGACACGCGAGCAGTTTTTCTTGTAGTGCGCTGCTCAATATTTCACGGTTCGTGTGTATTTTTAAGGAGATCGTTTCGGACCTCTACAAGCGCCCGATGACCTCGGTCATGACACGGAGGCCTAGAGCAGGCATGGGCACTTGAGTGCATCAAATGCTTTCGTAATTGGTCTGTCGATTTGTCTCGCCCAGCTTTCAAGCCTCGCCTTCATATGTAGCACGCAGGAGAAGGACAGCTTGGCACCACCTCCAATCTGAAATCACGTCAGGCATGAAGGGTAAACAACATCTCTCAGAATAGACTTGAGCCATATGTCAGAAAAATCTGTGTGTGTGAATTGCATTGGTATCTAGGAAAAAGAAACAAAGAGAGAGAGATTTGTCTGTGAAAGACGGCGTGTGTGGGTGAGCGTTGTGGAAAAGCCCGAGCTCAAGGACTCTCTTCCGATCCCACATCTAAAGAAGAGATAACAAGTAACAAGAGAGGAGTCTGATTGTGATTTGCATTGCAGCCGCAGTGTTGCGAAACACAGCGAACACAGTTCTCCGGAGAACAAAAACCATACAAGTGAAGTGTTTTCCAGATCATCATTTTAATCTACGACTTGGAGCACAAAGAATAATTGAAATGAGTTCTTTCTCTTTTTATTTTTTTGTCTTCACAAGACTACGGCCATCAGGCGCTGGCATCAGCTTTTCGCTGTATCATTAGCTCCAAAGAAAGCCCCAAGAAAAAAAATCAAGGAATGAGAGAAAAGGGAAAGAATACAGCGCTGGGGGAAAAAAGGAAAAGAAGAAAAAGAAAGGAGCGTATTGAGAGGATATAAGTGCTGATGCATGCCTGGCATTTGGGGAGTAGGGACAGCAAAGTGCATTATTTCAGCCCTTAGGATGATGGAAAGAGAAAACAGATATTTGTCATAGAGCATGAGAGCAGAGGACAGCAGCAAATGACTGCAACATCAGTTACAAGGGGGTCGCCATAGCCTTGTGAAGGGTATAATGGTCCCTGCGCTCCTTTGTCCAATCCGTCTTTTTTCCCCTCCAAGTATCTCGATCGCAAGCTCCATACAACTTTGCTACAGCGGGAAATCATACAGCGGAGAAGGCAAGTCTGGGGAAAAGGTACTATTTGTATTAAGTGCAGCTGCTACACCGACAAGCACGTCGCCTCAATCGTGCTGCTTTACTCCATTAGACACCAATACACCAATCACTGGTGTTCAAAGAGATAGCGCTATATCAAGATAACAGGGGTGCACTCAATTAAAGCTTATCAAAGGTGTTCAAAGGATCCTTAAAACTGACACCTGCGATTTTGGATCACATTTGAATATAGAAGAAAAAACTCTGACTTCATAATCACAGCTTTGTGATGCAAAACACTGAGAGTGGGGGAAAGTATTGATTTAGTACATTTTAATCTTCTCCCGCCTGGATCTCTCAGTGCTCCATGGCTCGTCTCCAGTCGGTGCAGATTCCCCCTTATGAAAATCTGATTATTAACATATAAAGCTCCACAAGGACAGGCCTCTGTTCATATTCACAGGTTTTGAGACCTCTCTGACGCTCTATCTCCTAACCGTCCCGCGCTTTGATTTTGAAACCAGAGGCGATCACACTCTGAGCTTGTTGATTTGTTTTAAACAACTCCTCAAAACACATTTTTATTAGGGTGGGAGGACGATCAAACTACTGATAGTATCGATACCAAATCAATAACTAACATTCAAATTGAGATAACTTTATTCATCCCAAAAAAGGGAAATTTGTTTACAGCTTACGTGCACTGCCTATTCACACAGTCAAACTCCACCTATAGTCTTTAAACACTGATCACAAGCATTGTTGCAGGTAAAGGCAGAGACAGTGAGGTCAAGAAAGATAAATAAAAATAAAAATGAATAAATATATTCCAAATAAATTAATGGAATATTTTTATTAGTTTCTGATAATAAAAAAATATGTCTAACATGAACTTTTAAAAAAAGAATAATAATAATGTTTTTATACAGCACATTTAAACAACAGAAAGTGCTTTAGAGACAGGCACTTTCTGTCGCAGCTTAAAAATGCATGAAAACTGAAAGCTGTGTTTTCTTGTATTAACTAATTAAAAATCACAGTGATTTAGTGGTCATTAAACTGTGTTCAGATTTGGCAAATTGATGACGATTCTCATAAATCACGACACACTGCTCCGTTTTACATAAGATGCCTTTATGAGTTAAAAGTATTGGCCCTGTATTTATTTGAGACTAGTGAAAATGCAGCTAAAAGTCTAAAATTTATGTCCTTCTTTACAAAGCCGAATTTTTACTTTCCATTTCCATCTCTTCCCCTTAATTATGAGCTATAGTTTCAATCTGTTTGTGTGTATGGAAGTGTATAGTTTGGAATGAATGTCTGACTGTATGGCTGATTTTGTTTGTATGTCTTTACACGTACACATTTTGAACATGCATGTGTTGCTTTGATTCAGATTTTGCAGCACATTGTTTTTAATTATTATTTGTCATATGAAAATACTGGCGCTGTCAGGGTTAATCTCGTTAAAATGACGTAACTGCATTAACACGGCAAATCTCCGTTAGCGAGTTAGCGTGGATCGCCCGGTGCGTGGGGCTGCACGGCATCAACGCGTTAGCGCAGTTAGCTCAGTTAGCTCGTCAATGCGTTAGCGCAGTTAGCTCGTCAATGCGTTAGCGCAGTTAGCTCGTCAATGCGTTAGCGCAGTTAGCGCAGTTAGCTCAGTTAGCTCGTCAATGCGTTAGTGCAGTTAGCGCAGTTAGCTCAGTTAGCTCGTCAATACGTTAGCGCCGATTTGCCGTGTTAATGCGGCTATGGCGTTAACGGCATTTTAACGAGATTAACGCTGACAGCACTAGAAAATATGTTGTACAATTTGCTGTTATGATGGAGTTGTCAATACACTTGTGATTTTCTTAAATCATGCACAAGCTCAATAAATTCCCACACAATTTGATTTGCCAGTCACAACGTCTCGTGATGAAAGAGGGTAACATTTAAAAGAGTGACCCAGCTGGCAGTGAATGCATACACAATACCTGGTTCCTGTTTTTTTAAGGCGCAATGACATGGCAGATATTGCTTTGTATCGAGTATGACAGAATAGCTATATTGTGGTGATCTCGTTAATGTGGGTATCATACTGCAATACCTACATTACTGATAGCTGAGGAAAGCATTATCACATGTAGTAGCATCATAACGTCAGTCTCCCCCCGCCCAAAAAAGTAACCTGGGTAAACGGTTTCTTTTATCAACAGTTCTGCACTTGAGGTGCACTCAACTTTTACTCAACATCCATAAAAGGACTGAAACGTTTTATTCTACCTGCTTCACAGAAAACTGCAGTTTGAATTCATGGCGACTACAATGGATTCAGACCCAGTTTCACGGTAAAAGACAACATTAAAATGTCCACAGAAACTTTTAAAGCCACTCCATAATCCACTTCTCCTTGGTCCATTCATATCCTCAGAATGCTCCAAAACCTCTTTTCTCCCCTTAAAACGCTGCTAAATGCAGGGCTTCCATTTGTTGCATTGTGAGTTTGAGAGTCACAGAAACCCTGGGCTCTCAAGCTGCTTGTGTCTACAGTCTTGGTCATTTTAGCTCAAGGTTGATGATCTCACTGTCTTTCAAAACACTAACAAAACAAAACACCTTCGTCAGATCAATGCACATTATCAAACTCTGTGCACGCTTTGGAGGTTATCATTTGTATTCCTGTTCAGGTGTTTTGTGTTGCACTGACGAACATTTCTGCCATCCCATTTATATTACTTCTCTCTATAATGCAATGCAATTTAACAGCGTCTTGCAAGTACATCTTGCAAAATGGAATTAACACCTCTATAAAACTGTTTAAAACATTATAACCTTGATAGAGTTTGGAATAATTTCAAGGTGGCTGCTTTAGCTTCCGGAGAACTACTATGTCAGACTGCATTACGTTTAGCCAGGTGTATAAATGTATACATCTTTCCTTTTCCCAATCGGCTTGATGTATTAACACTAGCTGCAAATGCCAAAACCTTAGTTTTGTTGCTTTTAGTCCTGCCTGCTGTAATAACTAGTACATATTTCCGCATATTTCCAATACAAACGGCATAACGTGCGGATGCAAGGATGAAGACCCATCTGGCCTTCACCTGTTAACCTATATCCAGCTGTAGGACACAAGGATTGAAGTGATGAAGCTGCAAGAATCTGCCATTTCTCTTTGCATTGCTATCACTCTAACACTGCACCTCACCAGCAAGTAGTCCCCTCCCTGTGCTCTCCCTCAGGCAAGTCTCCTGCCTGTCCCTGTGCCAGCTCTGCCAAGCGACCCAAAGATGGATCTTAATTTTCTTTTAGAGCCACACATAGAAATCTCAGCAATGTAAGTAGAGAGCCCTACTGGACTATAATACTTGGTATTAAAAGAGATTCTTGACCCCACTGCTCACAGTTGTACACATAAGCTTCTGAAAACTGCAGCAAGGTCGGTCTCCTTACGCACAGCGTTAGATGTTAGGAAAAGAACTCAACATCAGATGTAAATAATGAGCCCTTCTGGAACACTCTGGATAAGATAATATCAGTATGATGCACTAAATAAACGAAATACTTCTCTCTACAGTCGGCACACTGTAAAGAGAGAATCTATTATAAAGAGAAGGAAAAAAAGCACTACACATCTATTTACTTACTGGGCTGACAAGGACATCTACCCATTATGCCTTTGCTTTAGAAGATGGTTTGACATGAGTATGCTGTTGCAGAATTAGCTTGACAAGCTATTTCTGAGAATAAATAAAGCACACACTTCAAAGAAAGAGCTCAGCTCTGCATCATCAGAAGATGTTTGTGTTTTGGTCTTTTATATAGCGGCAAATAACAAGACGAGTCACCTCAAGGTGCCTTTTATCACAAGGTCAAGACGCTACATTATTGGAAAGGAGCCCTATTAATCACACAACGCCCTATGAGCAAGCGCTTTGGCAACAGTTGGAAGGAAAAACTTCCTTTTACCAGAAAGAAACCTCCGGTAGATTTGTGGCGGAGCACGAGATTCACATCTGTCCACATAAACACAAATCTCTCAGGAATGTTTACAGCACCTTGTTTAATCTGTGCCACAATAAATCAAGTCATTTCTAAAACTGTAAACTAGAGAGCAAAGTAAGCACTGAGTGTATCCTTCTAACACAGATGGCTTAAATTGAAATGATCAGCCTAATCAGGGGTCTTGCTGATGGCATCAGTGGGATTGCAGTGCTAGTTTACATCAAGTTTTCTTTTAACAACTTCTTCTGAAAACTTTTTTACGTCCTTGTGATCTGCACGCTGGACAAAACATTTTTTGTTCACCTGTTTAACCTGCATCTGATTTTTGCACCAATTACTCCCTTTATTCACACAAACCTTAAGCTGTCAAACTGATTATAAGTCAGAACGCTATTACTGATATTAAAGCGGTCATTACATGTAATTAGTTAGAGGGAAGTAATACTTCTAAGCTCTCATCTACTCGGATCAACTTGTCAGTCATTTTCAGGCCCTGATTACTCATTCATTAGATATAAATTAAACTGATGAATTAAAAAACAGTAATCGCTGGCGCTTAAATGACTCATTAAGACACGTACAAAGGTGCACGCTATGCGGCATTGCTTATACTTAGCTCGCTGGCTGTCGAAGCAGCCCTGGCACTGAGTAAATCATTAGCATGGGAGTAAGGTTGCTCAGCATGGGTTAAAGTTCACTTTGACTCCCTTTTAACTCAGCTGTTACGCTAGTGCTGTGCCACCCTGCAAATTGTGGTATCAATCTGACATCAATACAGAATAAATGCAGGGTCAGTATGCTGATACCAATACCGATACTTTTTCTTTATAAAAGCAGCTTATGTAGCGGAGAGCAGTGTGCCATGATTTCAGTTGGATACATACTGAACTTGGAGTATACAAACAAAGTATTGATCAATCTAATACCAATAGCAGTGGTGGTATCGATACTATGATATTCGATCTGTCCACCTGTAGGATGAGGACGTTTAAGTTCCCTGACACCAAACACTAAACAGCAAGTATTTCATGTTATTTGGTTATTATGTAAAACAAACCCCCCCAAATAGGTATAAACTGTAATCCCTTATATCCTCCTCAGCCCTCTTTATTGACATTTTAAATGTAGCCAGCCTCCAGAAGAGTTTATTTTATTATTATTTTTTTCCCACTAAGATAATCGCTTCTCTGGGCGCTCTGTTTTATCCGCTGCAGACAAGACAGGAGGGGGAATAAAAAGGAGAGGAGTGTGTTTGGCTTCCCAGAGTCTGAGCCTGGGCTAGCCTCGGGAGTAGAGAGAGCAAGCTACAAAAAAAGAAAAAGAAAAAAACCCGCAGAAGAACACCAGAAAGACAGCATCACAAAACACGTGTCCTGTTAGAGGAAAAACAAACTCTCACCCTCTCAGAAAGAAGAAGAAGTAACCTACCTCAAAGTTGTTTGGCTTTCACCCATCAGCACATCTTGGGGCTTAAAGATGGATTAAGAGCAGTTTTAACTGGCAGCCCTTATGACTGACGCAGAAAGCCTTTTGCAATCTCTCTCTCTCATTCCCCGCCTGTCTCTCATGATCGCTGTCCCCTTTTACCTGGAATCATAAAGTATGCAAATGACCTCCGCTGAGCCTGTCGTAGCGACTGTAGCTACAGCCGGTAAGCGCACAGGTGGTGCACATTGCACAGCGCGCTCCCTTAAAGCCGAGGCCCGCAGCAGAGCGCATATGTCTGCGTCTTGTAGTCCTGTCTCAGTCACCCGGAGAGGCGAGAGAGGGTGAACGGGAGCACTGGCCTTACATTTGGCTTCCCTTGTTGTGGCATTGTGCGCGTTTGTCTCGCGGGGTGCCTCGCAGCAAACTTTCAAATTTGGTCACCTGTTGACTGAGCTGAAATTATTCATGATCTCATTAGTCGGAAACATTCATCTTTATTTTAATAAGTCGAGCTGCGATGAGAGCGGTTTGAGACCAGATGGGATCACGGGGAGAGCATTTATTTACCGAGACAGAGCCAAAGTGAAAACGTTGATGATGTTGTTGATAATCAGCCGAATGCGTCACATGGGATATGCAGCTATGCGCGTCGACCGTAGGGTTTTACAGCAACCATATAATTAGGTAACAAGGAGACGTAAGAGTTTATTATTGTGTAGATAAAGAGTAATGCCAAAGGTGCACTGGGAGGATATAAATACGGAGATGAGATGGGTGTTTACCGAGAAGGTAGTCAGGAAATAAATATAGAGGTCTCACAGACAAATATAGAGGGTGATATTTTATAACTGATCCGGAAACACCTCAGCAAAACATTTTTTTCTTCCTTGTAGCCCAAAGATATTATATTATATTATATTATATTATATTATATTATATTATATTATATTATATTATATATCGTTCATGTGAAGGCTGCTGTCCAGTAATGTTTTAATGTCAGACAATTGCCAGCTACTACATGATGCCCAGTCAGGTTTTTGAATAACATGGGGTGTAAGATTGATGATATTGGTATCAGATTGATACTAGTGCTAGATGGTCGATACTTTGACCCTGTCCTCTTAGTTCAGCGTGTATCCTACTGAACTGTGTTAAATTAATTGTAATGTTGGGAATGAAAAACTGTACTTTAAACAAGATGAAAAATGTCTGAGCCTTTTTGTAATGACTTTGTCATGTCTATTTTTTATTGCCTTAAACACAGGCGAAAAACACACATTTGACCCAAGGTACTTCAGAGACAGGCACATTTAGCTAATTATTTTGGAAAGTAAAGCTCACAGTGATTTATTTGTCAAATGTGCTCAGAATCTGAAAAGCTCTCCCCTACATTACAGGTTAAAAGTATCGGCATCAGTATTGGCATTACTGCCCGTGCGTTTCCTTGGTATGGAGTATGACACGGCACTACTGCAAGAGAGTGAGAGCATTTACAGGAACAGGCCCCTAGCTGACAGCCTCTCAGTTTAGGATTCACTCACCGCTGAGGTGATAATTCAACAGCTTTGACCCTAAAGCCAAATCTGGTTCCAAAAAAGTAAAAATAAAGAAGTAGGAACTGTGCTCCTTTCTGTGTTCGCAATGTTAGCCTATCTGACTGATTTGTGATTTTTGAAATGTCTGTCTGTGCATCTGCTGTTTGCATATTTTAATAACCTAGTTTATGGCTATGTGCAAAAGTTAAAATACCCACATTTCCTTAGGTTTTGCTAGGAGCATGAGAAACAGATGGAGAAATCTAAAGGCACATGTGCAAACAGAGATGGAAGTACAGTATATAAAACAAAAGAAAGTTTGTACGACTCTAACAAGCTTGAAAGTCATCGCCTAGGAACTCTCTTAGTCAGCTTTGGATGTTGGCTGTTTTTTGTTGACTTCTCTGTCAAGACGATCCCACACTGCTTTAATAATGTTGAGGTCCGGGCTCTTAAAAGGTCAGTCCATGACTGATAGTTGTCATGGTTAATGGTGAACGAGGAAGCCCAGAGCAGAGTCGTGAGCTGGCTAGGATCAAAATACAGATGAACATTAATCGTAGGCGTAACAGGCAACTAAATAACAAGTCCGTGGATAAGCAGAGGAAACGCTGGGGGAAATACCAGGAACTCGGGAACCACAGGGGACGACAGAACAACACAGCAAACACAGTAAAAGCGACAACAAGCAGAAACAAGGGTACATAACACACAGCTGCGGGGAACTCACAGGTGCAAACAATTGGAGAGACTGAGGAAAGTAAAACTAAAACGAACACATGAGATAAAGACTATCAAAATAAAACAGGAAGTAACATAACGGGAACACCTAAAGCTAGAGAAGGGAACATGAGGGAAGCAGAGAGCTGTAACTGCAAAACCTACAGACTAATACAAAACAAACAGCACCTGTAACGAGAGATCGATACAAATGATGATGGTGCTCTACTGTGTGTTCACTGCTCTGGCAGTGTGTTTGGGATCATTGCCATGCTGAAAAATGCATGACTGGCAATCAGATACTTTCCAGATGGTGTTGCACACTGGGTCACAACCTGACAGCACAGTGCCATTCATAATTTTATTCATTATGATAATGTCAATCCCAGGCCCCTCCAGTAGCCTATCAGTATATACAGCAGGTCACCTGTTTAAGCAAGAAATAAAAAAGAATCACTTCAAAATCTTTTTTTAGTTTATACTCTCAATTAAATATTCACATAGAAAAATCTAACTAATAAAACAAATTCATGCACTTAAAGATTTGACATATTTACAATTCTGATTGGCAAACAGGGAGTGGAAGTAAGGCTTTTAATGGAAAATCAAACACTTCAAATTAAGTCCAGGTCACAATCAGAACTGCGATCAAAGGGTTAGGGGGGGATGAAGATTGTTGGAGTTTGAAATAGACTGTAATGGAATTAAATTTGGGAATGTCTGCCCGGAATGACTGCTTCCTGTTTCGATTGTTACCGGTGAATGGCTGCAGAGTTACAGCACTCTGAGATCGGACGATTCTCTTTGATACACCCTGCAGTTCAAAAACATAAAACATGTATACCTTCTGGCTGTAACTGCTAATTACTGCTGACATTGTTCTTAATTATGACCTTTTATTTATTTTTTTTAAAAAAAGGAGTAAACTTTAACTTTAAAACACTAATGAATGATCAGAAAATGTGAAAGGATCTGATAAAATTTAATTTTCTGTGAAGCTGAAGGCAGTACTTCTGTCATTGTAAAAAAAATGCTCCAAACCATCAACTGTAAGCATTTAATGAACTTATAATGATAATTAAGGTGCAGGATCCCATTTGACTTTATTACACTATTCTAAGAAGCCATTCCTCAGGACCTGCAAGTTCCTGCATGCATATATATACATAAATGGTGCCTAAAATGTTTATTTTAGGGTTTGTTACTACTGTGATCAAGGTCTTTTGTCCTCAGTCGTCTTTTAAAACTATAGAAAACTTTTCTTTCCCGCACAATCACTCAAGGGTCAGTGTGACTTGCCTGTGTAGGTCCGTGTAGGTCCATACTCTCAATTAGTTACAGACATTCACACTCATGGAACCCAGGTGAAACACCGACTGCCCAAAAGTAATTGCTTCGACTAATGAAGTGCTGCCGCTTGAAGGTGCCAGCGCAGTGGAGTACACCTGCTGTTCCCAGGTCAGTAAACCCTGCATTAGTCTAGCCATGCTAATGAAAAACACGGGGAACATTTGCAACGGCGTTACCTTGTCATTTGCCTCTTGCATACCTTAAGGAGCAAAAATGATAATGGGAACACAATCCATACCTGACAAGAAGAAATGAGCCAGGGGCCTCAGACCGACGGGTGTGCAAGAAGTAAAGCAAAAAGTAGTGGAAGAGGTAATAATGAAAGCAGATATTCAGTGTAGCAAACTATTAATTTAATAGTTTTTCATCTCCGAGGAGCTCGGTGCCGGTGCATTATTTACCGTCTTTGGCGTGTCTGCGCAGAAAGATGGACGGAGAGCAGACTCTGAAATAATGCAGAGGAACAGATGAAACAGGGCCGGATTAACTGATAAAACTAATGGGGCATTTAGAGGAAAGAAATCCTTTCCCCCCCTTCAAAAATGAGAATGAACATTAAAGAGAGACGAGACGTTCCCACTATCCTTGCCTCTCTGCTTTATACCATCCAACTACTCAGAGAGAGGTAATGTTTGCTGTGATTTACCCAAGTAAAATGATTCGTCACCACACGACCTAGTGGATGGAGTAACAAGCTGCTTTGCAACCCTTATTGATTGTATTGCCCCGGGGGAAACTGAAGAGCAGAAAAGTTCACCCACTGACTTTTTTTTATGTGCATCAAAGTTCAAGCTGGCACTCTTACTCGGCTAGACCCCTGTGTGTGTGCTTCATTTCAATCAATTTCAGCTAAATAAGAGAAATGATTACAGATGAATGCCCAAGTCGATAGCTCAGGCTGCTTACTAAAGACTCGTGGGGGGAGAAAAGCCAGACCGAGAGCCTCTGAGAGATATCGCCTGGACTCTTCGCACTACGCTTCCAACTCTCCTGGCTGATGAGGTGAGTAGTATGCACTCAGATGACTGTTAACCGCGCTAATCTGGACAAAAACGGACAGCCGACGAAGGCCGGCAACGGATGGATGTTTGACAGCCCCGTAGGGTCACAGCTGGCATTTTTGGCTTTCCATCCTGTGTTATTTCTTCCTTCCAAGCAGGTGGAGAAGTGTCCTGGGGAGAAGAAAAACCAGAGAAGTTGAGGTAAACAAATAACAGCCTCACTCGACAGATGCTGTTGCCTCTTCCTGCCTACTGGCCATGGCTACAATTGTGTTTGTTTCGACTTTAGCCAGCACAGCCCACACAGACTGTGCAGAGGCAGAGCAACGATTTAAAAAGAAAAAACAACTTACGTGCTCTATTTTGACATCGCCACAGTGGGAACATGGTGTGAGGAAAAACACCAAGGACGCCGGTCACTTTTACATCAGCCATGTACTTTAAAGCTACATTTTTGATCAAGGTGAGATTGCAGTGTTATTGTTCATGAGGAGTCAAACGAGGACTCGGACACTCAGGTATTCAGTGATGTCACCTTTTCCCACCAAATCAGAGGAAGATGCTGTGAATAGGAAAACAAGCAGGCGGTGAATTAAAGGAAAAAGTATTATAAAGCTTCTGAATCAGTGTTTTGCACTGATTGTTTAGGACTTTAATGATTTTAATGAGTAGGGAAACACTGTACAACACTGCACCCCTCCAAAATAAGACTCCTGTACAGAAAGTGTTCGACCAGAATGAGATCTGGTGGACGCACATGATTTACATCAATTTCAGTATTAAGTGACCCCTTCCTACCCCATGAATAGTGTCATTGTGGCGCCACGCATATACCGATGTGCTCCCTCCCTCTCTATAGGTTGGAGGTTGCTGGATCAGGAGGAGGGGCATCAGCAGGTCGTCCCGTGCTTCAGTCATCAGTAGGGATGGGCGGATCGATCCAGATATCGATAGCATCGATACCAACACTGGCAATGATATCTCACTGATACTACCATAATAGAATCAATACTCGAGTTTT